AAAGTCGTACCCCATTTCCCACCACCATTTCACAGTTCTCAATCTGAAAAACTGCTCTCAACTGAAAAAGCACACAGAAACGTTTTTATTTCTTAAATTAGGTGTTTTACGCCTCCATCGACTTAACTGGGGTCATTTAGGAGATTGGTTTTGACCCAGCCTGTCAGGGCCAACCCGGGCTGAGAGTGAGAGAGATACAATGTCCTGGCAAAAAAAAACCCGAGATACCAATCCCTTAAAAATATTCTCCCCGACACGGGAACCCAAAGTACAATAATATGCTTATTTCATAGGGTTGCTGGGAATCTAATCGAGAGCAATTCTTCTGATCGGCATAAGAACTGGATTTTCATTGTGTCGACTTTTTTTTCATCTTAAAAATGGTGAACTGCTGCTTGCCCGCTGTTCAGCGCTAAAAAAATCTTAGGCTAAAACGATAAAGTAAAACTGAGATTTAACAATAATACAAGTACACTGTTGTAAGCCACTGTCCTAGGACGCATAACCAAACAACAACAACAACAACAACAACAACAACAACAACAACAACAACAACACCACCACCAACAACAACAACAACAACAAACGACAAAACAGAACAAAACAGAACAAAACAAATCAAACAAGTAAACAAATAAACAAAAATCACGTGAACAAATAAACTCCTAAAATTCTAGAAAGTGATATAAGCCTACCTGTAATGTAGGCCTGCATTAACCGATATATATATATATATATATATATATATATATATATATATATATATATATAAGAATTGGGTGGTTTTTTTAAGGGGGGGGGGGGGGGGGGGCTTCATTTGGACATTTCAGAGAAAATATGAGGCTATAATAATATGAAGTAGAGGAGTGTCTTTGATTAGTCTTCAGAATAGTTTAATCAAAGTTACCGGGCGTTCCCTCGGACGACAGTCGTTCTAACCCTTACATAACTAACTGCACTGACTTGACTAACGCCCCCCCCCCCCCCCCCCACACACACACACACACAACCAGGGCAGTGCTACTGACTGAAGTTGTTTTTAGGCCATTCCCAAAGGAGGGATATTAACATGTTCTTATGCACAGTAGAGTTGTAAATGGGCTGATATATCAATGTCATGCTGATACTGTGCCGGAACAACATAGGGGGAACTGCTGCTTCTTCTTTCCCCATCCTTACTACATGTATCGACATCTTCCCTCTACTTGTTTTGTATGTTTGTCACTCTCTTGTGAACTGCTATTTCCGGGGTGTCTTGATAGTCGAAGCAGACTCTGTGCTGTTGAGGCTAGAGGGGTGAGCAGAGTAACCCTACGTGTCCACTGAGACGGACACGGCCCGATCTTTTTCCGGGAGGAAGAAAATCGGTCGGGTCGTTTCCGTCTTTTGTATCAACCAGTTCCGACCACACACATCTAGTCTGTTGGCCTACTGACCGTCTTATTCCAAACACTGTGTTCCAAGGCTGTGTCCTCGGTGCATGGTTATAAATTGTCGAGGCCAATGAGTCCAAGGCGGGAATAAGAAATGAATGGGTTTTTAACGGAAAATTGGTAAAATTGGTAAATGCATTTAAACCAGGTGGTTTGCGCGTTGACTTTGCTAATTTTGAGGCGCTGATTACGAATATGAAATTAAAACTTTAGGGGGAGGGGGGGGGGCGCTATATCTGACGGCTATCTCGCTTATTAGTTGACCGAATTTTGCCAAATTTCGCACATATAACAAGCATAGTAAGGAGCAGCAATCAAATTTGAAAAAAAAGTTTTGTTTCCATGGATACGGTGGCCATATTGGATTATGTTGACATGATTTAAGTAATGAATATCGCGCTTATTTTTCGTGGAAATTGATTTTTTTTTTGCCTGCATGTTAGCAAACATTAGATCTAAAAATTTGTGGGTTTTTTTTCTCTAAACGAATAAGAAAATTTTAATGAATTTTTTTCCTGAGGTTGTATTCAAGTTTGCGAAAAATCCGTAAAAATCCACTGCGGACACCACAAACAAAAATCTATATAATATATCAAAAATTCATTAGACAAATTTTTAGCATTACATCTTTTCTTCATTCTGTGAAAATTTCATGAAGATTGGGTGAAAAATGGTGGAGTTATTTTAAAAAGGTATAGAGAAAAATTGCGTTTTGAGAAAACGGCCGATAAAGAAATATAAAATATTGACTTTATGAGGAAATGATGGTGACAAACATGCCCGGTATGTGGGGAAAATAAGGTCTTTAGGTGTTCTTATGCGATGGAATACATGTCGGGTAGGCTGAGGAAGCTAAAAATGCCTACAGCTCAAATTTCATAATTTTGTGCCGAATCGGGACTTTCGGGGTGTAGCACCCCCCCCCCCCCGTCTTTTTTTACATGCGTTCTGTTCGCAATTTTTGGAGGGAGGATTTTTAAAGAAAACTACGAATTAAAGTCGTTCTCGATTTAAGGTGGTGATACTGCATCAGAATACAATGTACATGACTCGAGGTGACTCAAATCGCGAATTCAAGACGTTCGCAAAGAACGAAATGGTAAAAAAACCGCGAGAAAAGAACAGCAACCCAGTAGCGCGCGAAAAAAGGACCCCCCCCCAATCCAAAAAATATCAGCAACCACAAACCAAACTCGTTTACAATATTTCACAATTTTGAAAGGAACTAAGGTTTCCCGTAAATTTAATAGAGTCTTGCTTAGAGCCATATTTTTATAATGTGATTATTGTTGTATTTTACATATACATTTCGCGAATCACTTAATTTTTTTTCACACGACTTTTTCTCTTTAGTTGCTATTTTTCCTAAAAAACAATTTTATTGCAGGCAGTCATTGTCTCATTTTAACATGATCCAAATCTAGAGATAGAAAATTAATCTTTTGTCGATTATAGAAATGAACAATGACAGAATGACACAGCATTCTAACATCGAAGTTTTATTACAATACAATGTAACAATGGGAGACCGTCTGCTCGCTCAATCAAGTACGTCTTTGGTAATTTCATGAAAAAGAAAAGTCATCTTCGAGAAGTGATCAGTTTCGTAATCGGTTATCAGTTTTGACTTCCAAGAAATTGTACCTGTCTTGAAAAGACCCATCCTGGTATGCACTGTTTCTTACTGGTGCCAAATGTGATAGATAGATAGATAGATAGAGAGAGATAGGTACAGAAATAGACATATATATATACATATA